TACTGCGCGAGGTCGGATGTTACGGCTGGCAGCCTCGAAGCGCATTCGTGGGTCGATGCGCTTTCTGTAGTATGTGCGAACTTGTTGAGGCATGCGCATGCTCAAGCCGACCCTGGCCTCGGCCATGGAGGCAGCCTGATGTCACGAGTCGAAAAGTTCAAGCACAAGGTCAGAGATCAGCATGCCTGCACTGCCGCTAGAGAGACAGAATCCTTGCAGATAGCAGACTTACCCGACAGACTTGCGGAACTGTGCGCATCAATGGAAAAGCATTCATCTTGGGTTTGAAAGAGTGTGCATTGGACGATGTCGATGTTCCGATGAAGCTGGTGGCGGATCATCACGTCGAGATTATCGTCGTACTTGCTTGTGTATTACTTGCTTGTGTATCTCTAGGAACCCGGCCTTGTTTCCTCAGCGTAAACCTCCACATCGACAACACACAGCATCACAGCGAAGCGTGCCAACGCGACTCAACTGCCATTTTTGTGTCTATTTTTGACAATCATAGGCCATTCTTCCGACAAGACAAGAAACGCTGCCTTTGGAGAGCCTCCGACTCAAGCATCCTTTGTGTGTAAAAGCTCTTCGTCCACAACGTCGACATATTTGTCTGAAGCAGAGAAAAGTTCATGGCCCAGAAGCTTGATGAAAGGAGAACTCTTGTGTGCATGCAGAACGGATCAGTACCCGGGTAATCACTGTGGTTGCAGAAACCACCGTCTCGAAAATCTATAAAATCGCCATAAGTCGTCCATCTCTCGATGAATCTTGCTCCAAATTTGGGGAGGACGTTTGCCTCCGAAATTCCAGTTTGTGGGTGCCAAAAAATTGGCATTTAGTTGAAGAGCGTGCATCAAAAGTCAATGATCACAAGTATCGATTGCGATAATGAGCATTCCTAAGTACATGATGAATCAAGCATTTAACCAGTGCACGGAGTAGGGGAAACAAGATTCGTATTATCATTTGTAATGTGGTCAGTTGCACCCAATTCGACAATCCATGCATTGGATCGTTGATGTAGGGATGCGCGATAAGTGGTGGCGACGGTGCACCAGACATCCTAAGCGGACGTCTGGTTGCCGTTGGGAGCGAGGGTAGGATTGATGTTGTTGGGAGCCTTACTAGTTCGCACTTGCCTATCTGAACAACGAGCCAGTGAAGGTACAAAGCTGGCAAACACACCAGCCATTCTAGGGAGTCTGACCAAGTCTCGAGAACCGAGGGTGTGCCCCTGTCATGTCGCGCAGACCTGTCTTGTGATTAGAGTGTGACATCCGCGGGCTGTTGAGCTTCCGACTCTTGTCGTGCGGACAGAACCAGAGTTTCGACTGCACTCAGGCTCATGGCCGTGTGACTTGCGAGGGGAGCACGGCTTTCAGTGGATCACTCGTCTGGCGAGGCAGCTCCCCTGTCCAATACCAGCCGCGATCGGCTTCACCGAGTGACTTGAAAGAGAGGTACGGCGCAGTTGTGACGAGCGAAAAGATGTCTGGATCTGCCCAGCATCCCACCTCGTCGGCTTGTCCGTAAAGTCGCTTTGCTTCTGCTGAGCAGCTGTGACCATTCGAGCGGCTGGCTGTGGCTGTGGCTGTGGCTGTGGCTGTGGCAGTGCATGGCTCCTGCTGAGCTTGACAGTAGAAATCGAGAAAGACTTCTCTTCGATCGTGTCCTCCCCGTCTGGCAGTCACGACACGAATGTCTGGCACATCAGGCTCAGTTTGCGACGATCGCCAAAGCTTGATGAGTGCCCTTTTGCCTTCTTCGACGAGACGCCAATACTTGTCTCTCTCGGCCGTGCGTAGTTCTTCTGGCGTCACGGCAGGCACTTGGCTAGACTCTTCGTCGAGACTGTCGACTGGATCGATACGATCCTCCTCCTCTGGCAATCCGAAAGGGGAGGCAGCTGCCGTATTTGGATGGTTTGCTGCCACTGGAGGTATCTGCATCGCATCCTTGAAGTCATGCAGGTTCGAGCGTTTTGCTCTGACGTCAGTAACACTCGCTTTTCCTCTTCTCCCCGTTTCGCGAGCATCAAGCATTGGCCAGGCCGGAGCGTTCCTTCCCACCCTGAAGAACATAGCAGAGGGATCATTCTCGCGTTCTTCTACCATCGGTGATGGTAACGGACTCAACGGACTAAGCTCGAGTAACAGCAATTGGAGTCGTGGTAGCCGAGATGAATGCGTCGCGAGATCATACAATGCTTCTTGCACTGCAAAACGTCTTGCTGGACCACGTGGAGCGCGAGGGGCAGGCTCGTGAGCCTGCTGCTGCACAGAAAGCTGCTCATACTCCTTCCATGCCTTCCTCCAACCTATGTACGCTCCGAACTCGGCCAGTGCATCCGGCGGCAGCAGTGACAGGCGCAGGCACTCGAGTGTTTGACGTGGCGACAAGCCTGCTTCAATGCTCTTTGGCACATTGCCCTGTTCATCTGCATTGATCGTCTTGCCGATCAGAAATGAGATCAATGCTGGCGGAGGTACTATTTTGATGAGGTGAAGATGTGTAAGCTTGGATAAGGGTGCCAAAGACTGCGTGGTCGAGAATGGCGGTGCCGAGAAAGAGAGGTTCGAGAGCGTGAGTCGGCGAGGTCGACAGGTGGTTGCAGGATAGAGAAATTCAAGCAAAGCTGCACCTGCCTGGCGGTGTTCAAGCGAGACGAAATCAAGCCGACTTGCATGATTGAAGAGCGTCCGCAGGCTCTCAACGTAGTCCGCCTGGTCTGCCAATGTATCGCCGGGTTGAAGCAGTCCGTCGCCAGGCGGCAGGTGGAGCGAACGGATCCATGTGGCGCGTGCCGAGGCTTGACCATGGTCAGGACTGTACAGCTTCTTGGCGTCTGCAAAGATGGTGCTAGCTAGAGAGTTGAGCGACTTGAGTGTCCCAAGAAGCGGCCTTCGGTAGAGAGCTCGACTTGCGATCTGGTGGAGTAATGTGCATGAGGATGCGGCCGAGAGCAGGTCGCTACTTGTCGATGATGGCAGTGCAGGGGCATAGTCAAGGTCAGCGCCTGAAGCGTGCGGTAGTGTCGAATCGTTGGGATCTATTGGGGTTACGAGCCAGTCGATTATGCGAGCAAACACCTCTGCCGGCAGTGCAGGTGTCATGTTCTTGATGGCTTTGTCGATTTCTGCAGCCAGCTGATCGCCATCTTGCATCCTTTCAAAGCCTTTGAAGCTTCTTTCGCCGACAAAGTGAGGGATGGAGGCGGTCGCGGAACCCAAAGCAATTGCGAGTCTGGAGGTCTTGATGGTCATGGTGCAGAAGCAAAGCTGTGCAAACCGACTTGCCGAGAATCCGCGGAGCCTTTCACACTTTTGAACCGTGCACGCGACCACACGCATTGCATAGCCGTTTTCTCTTATCTTGCCTTTCTACCTTCACTTTCATCGACAACATTCGCAAAGATGGGTCGACATGAAGAGACGAAGCATGCCTTACCGACAGCTCCCAGCCAAACAGCACATCAGCCTCGTCAGTGCCTCTGCAGTAGGTAGGCAACCCGGCACATACAGATCAACAGGAACAATCCTGTCACAGCCCCTAACAACCGAGTACGAGTAGTGGTAGTATCCACCACCGTTAGCGCACGAGCCCATGCTGATGACCCATCGAGGCTCGGGCATCTGATCGTACACCTTCTTAAGTGCTGGCGCCATCTTGTTGGTCAAGGTACCGGCAACAATCATGCAATTGGACTGACGAGGCGAGGCACGGAAAACAATACCCAGTCGATCCTGATCGTAACGGGCGGTAGCGACGTGCATCATCTCGACGGCGCAACAGGCGAGACCGAAGGTCATGGGCCAGAAGGAAGATTGACGCGCCCAGTTGGCCATCTTGTCCATGCTGGATAGGACATATTCAACCCCGTTCTTGGGTGTCTCGAGCGAAAGCTGGTTGGAAGAACGGTTAGCGACGGACATGAGAGGGACGGGGCCGTCGGGGCCAGTATCGGAGCGGGGGGGCAGTGGAGGAGATGGAGCGGGTGTTCGACTTGGAAGGTCCAGCAGCGTTGTTGTTGTTGGCAGCGGCGGCAGCGACCTTAGGTACCGACTTGAGAGTCGAAGTCTGGAAAGAGCGAGTCAAGGCGATGCTGGCGGTGGGCTTGGCGGCGAGGCCTATTGCAGGCGGCGACAGGAAGTAAAGTTGAAGTGCAGTTGCGCGCGCACCATTGTGGTTGTTGGTGTGAGTTTGTGTACGTCGGTGGTTGGATGCAAGTCAAGAGTTGCAAGTCGGAATTGAAGATCGAGTAGAGAGCACAGTGTGGGTTGGAGGGGCGTGTGAGTTGTAGAAGATCAATCAAAGAAGGACAAAGTCAGTATCAGCTTGAAGCAAACAACAAGTTGTCAAAGTGGCGGGTTTCGGGCCGCCAGAGTTGGCAGCTGCATCTGATACATACCGACTCGGGAAAGCGAACGAAGAGCAGCCATATTTGCAATGACCTACTGTGGTGATTGACTACGACAACAGGTATGACCGGTGGTGGTTAGTGATGGCGACGACGACAATGACAATGAGTGACATCGGAGCCAGCTTCAGTTGCGTTCGAACATGTGCGGTGTGCAGTTGGCTCAGCATGGTCGCATTAGTTACATGGGCTCCTCAACGTCGCTCTTACGTCGAAAGGTACCGAAAAAATGGGTCGAATTGGTCGAAAAACGGTCATGCTGTCGCTCAAGTGCTGTGAGAAAGGTCTGGTTGTCGACTGCTAGATAGCGACTAGCTGGCTGATCGAAGCTGACCAACGTTGGCTTGCGCTAATGTGTGCCAGGACGGGTCTCTTAATGGTGCTGTGTCGGTTTCGTAGTACTGTGTCCGTGTTGTCCTAGGAGGTTCTTGCTAGATGGAGGAAACCATCATCTTGAAAAACTTGAAATGACCATTACTCGGCCATTTCTCGATGAATCTTGCGCCAAATTTGGGGAGGACGCTTGCCTCCGAATTCCTGTTCGTGGGCGCCAAAAAAATGGCAAAATATTTCGATTTGAGGGCTACTACGGGATTCGAACCCGCGACCACCTCTATTTAGAGCCTCTTTTGCAGGTGTGATGCCACACTGGGTATTGCCCGAAAGAGGTATCCTACCACTGGACGAAGCAACCGCTCTTTAAATTAACAAAATCGGCGTATGTATACATATACAGTTCCGCTATCACCGATGACCTCCGAAGGAGGCTTCTCATTTTTGTAAGCCGGTCAAGAGTCTTGACTCAGCTCAATTTTGTCAGAGATGCTTCAGACGAGGACACAAAATGACAACGTGATGCTAGATGAAACGCAAGTCTCCGCGAAGAGGCGCAAAGAGAAGGTGTGACATATCGTGAGGATTGCAAGCATTTGTACAAATTACAACCACCGTATCAGTGCCGTTCACAGAGGAGATCAGGGAAAGTGGCCTGCACGGACAAGAGTGCGAGCAGAGCTGTCTGGGAGACGAACGGCGATGTTGAAAAGAGGAACGATCGGCTGGAAGGAAGGACCAATGTGAGCGTGGCTAGGAGGAACACCAGGTCGCAACACAGAACAGACCTTCAGATCGCGCGGGTTGATGTTGATATTGTGCCATCGTACGTTCAGATAGTGGAAAGAATCACGCGGTGGAGAGCTTGGCATTTGTGCTATGCCCATCCCGACTGCATGGTTCGGAAGCGGCTGAGTCTGAACGCCGCGCACAGCCTAAATCTGAAGCGGCATGTCTTGGACATGGTTGAAGCACATGACAATCGCAGGCTTTTCAAGTCGTTTAGGCACGATGCTCAGAGCACGCAACAAAAACATAAAGTTGGTGTTACCTTACATCTGCGGCCATAGAACCTTGAAAGCACCGCATCCCGTCCGATCTGCGAAGTTAAGCAAGGTATCGCCTAGTCAGTACTGCGGTGGGGGACCACGCGGGAATCCTAGGTGCTGCAGTTCTCTCTTTTTCCCCCCCTCTCTTTACTGTCAGGCCCTCGTTATCGCTGGCTGCCGCCGGAACTCGGCAATTCTCTGGTGCCGTTCCTCCACACTTGAAGTTGTTCACATCAGCCAACACCATGCCCAACAGTCGTAGTTTTATGTCGACATAGCTCCTCTCACTCACTTGCTCAAACATATCTATAAAGCAGAGCTTTTGCGGCCGTACGACCAGAAGGGATAGCTGAAGCAGGAAGAACTTGTGCTTGCACGCCATGCTCGCTGCTGGTGCCTGCTGGTGGTGGTGACAACACGGCCACAGATGGATCAGATAACCTTATCGGAGACGAAGCTTCTGAAACTTCACCTGATGGCTCGCGAGTGAGTTGAATTTAGATACACCGCTCGTGAGGCCACAATCAGGCGCTCTTCTTCAGGTGAATCTACACAAAAGGGCTTGTATTTTAGTGAGGAGGTGACGACTAAACAGGAGTATATATATATGCCTTGGCACCCGACTATCCTTACTTCTTCAAGTCATGCCCATGTGCCATGTATCTCCTTCTCATAAGCGTTGTCATATCAACATACCCCCTGCATACCATGGTGTCAATCCTCGTGCATAGGCTGCATAAGCCCCCACTAGCTTTGCATCTATCTTATCTTCCTTGTCGCTTGGTGTCTTCCCGATTCCCCGATCCTGAATACTCTGATTTAACACATCACACTTTGGCGATGCCGGTGTATCTTCAACTGAGTGACAGCTACCGCCAAGTTGATGGACAGCGGTTGGGCAGAGTAAAGAATGTTAGACCTCGCTTGCATTTTTCTTTCTTTACAAAATCGCGAATCGGGTCCGAACGCGGGTCCACAAAGATCTGATTCTTCTTAACGAGACACACACCAACTGGTCTCACTCCCACCAATTCCTGCTCATCCGTTCCGACCAGCACCGCATATCCTCCGCCGTCCGTCTCCTATACCGCAAGATGGCCAAAGTGTCGCAGCCGGAGCTCAAACGCTTCCTTGACAAGCGCATCGCTGTCAACATTCAAGGCGGACGCAAGATCCAGGGCACACTTCGAGGATTCGACATGTTCCTCAACCTTGTTGTCGACGACGCCATCGAACAAGTGCATCCCGAGGCAGGAAACCCTAATGTATGGCAAGATGGCGATCGATGCGGCACTGTAGTGGTCCGAGGCAACAGCGTCACCTCACTAGAGGCGCTCGAAAACGTCAAGACAAGGTGATCGCACGCTACCTTCGTCCCTTTCACCAGATAGCCCTCCTCACCAAAACATCATTTCGCTCGAACCGTCAGACATGGCTGCCGAAGCCTCGCATCATGGTCCCCGGATCTACAAAAGGATGAACTGAAGGTCGATCGCTTGCCAATCCTAACGAAGTTATTCTATCGCTCGCTCTCCACTTCCTCGCGCTACACACTCGAACATCTCGGCCTCACCACAGGCTCTGCTGGCTTTCAGCCCTCGCAGATCTTTACGACCATTATACCAGACGCACTCATTGGCTCTCTCAGCTTCACTCAGTCGTCACCCTTTCGTGTGCAGTGTGGGTCTCGTCCTTTCCGTGACGATCCTGTCGCTCCGCCGTCCACAAGATACTATGCAATCGTTTTTCTCTCGACGGGCTACAGCCTCAGTCTCAAAGAACACTGTCCTCATACTATGTACACTAGCAGCAACCTATCTCGTCTTCGTCCCATTGCGTGTGAAGTCTCTCATCCCGCGTCTACGAAAGAGTGTTGGTGCTTGACGACGACGGTCGAATGCAAGCGTGCTAAGCTCCACGCGAATCCCTAGAGACAAGCTGAAATTTCTCACTTCTTCCACATTTTCGGATTAGTTGAGGGAGATGCAACAAAGTAGGGATTCCGGCCGAATGATAATTTTTGCAGCAGTCCCGCTCATGCGCAAGTGGCAAAAGACTTAGGGACCCCCGGACTCGAGCTTGTATTTAGACGATCATCACAGAAAAATCCCTAATTACGCAACTGATTAAGAGTCTGAAGCTCAGCAGCTTCCAGCACTTTGCAATCGGGAACAGCATGCCACCCAGGGTAGATAGCGTAGCCCTGCTCAAACGCACCATGCAGATGATCAGGAAAGCTCATGCCGACTGGAATGAAGACCAAGTCCTGGAACGTGCTTTCTCTGTGATGAACCTTCAACCCAATGCCAGCCAAGTGGAAAAGATCCCCAAGTCGGTGCTCAGCATCATCTCGCAAATTGTCAAGCTTAATGAGAACAACTGGGCCATCTGGGAGCCAATGTTCATGGACTGCATCCGCCCAATCAAGAATGCCAGGCACATCCTCACCGGAGAGATTCCTAGTGGCCACACCAACTATGATGAGGAACTAGACAGTCACTTGCTGGGTCTCATCTGTCAGGGGTCGCGCGCCTGAGACCTGGGTCTGGTGGTAGTACTGGTGCTATACTGGTCTTGTCGAATCGTTTGGCAACTATCGAGTTGTGCGACAGCTATCGAATTGTGCGATGACAGCTCGGTGGCGTTGGTATGAATGTTGTTCGCTATTGCAGGTCTCGACTAACCGCTGTGGACACTCCGTTCAGAGGTAGCTCGGCACGATCAATATCAATACGAAGGTGATGGTGAAGTTGGTGGTGGTGATGAAGACACCAAGGTCTGGTGTGAGTGGTCTGATTGATGATGGGGTTGGTGGGGATGATGATGGGGTTGGTGGGGATGATGATATGGTTGGTGGGGATGATGATATGGTTGGTGGTGTTGGTGATAAGGTTGGTGGCGTCGACACGAGTGTCCAGTGTGTCGACTATCGCTTGAGGTGATCCCCGGACCTATCACGAACCGGCCCTACGGTTGGCAATGACGACGAGGGCGAGATCGAGAGGAGAGGCAGAGGAGACTACCAGACTTCGGAAGGAGTAGATGAGAGAGTTGATTGAGAGAGTGACTTATGATCTCTTTTCCTTAAGGGAAAAGAGAAGAGAAGAAGGAAGGAGCAAACTATGAGATCGAAAGTACAAGACTCCATGCGACGAGTCTAAGACTCTTTTGCAGTGAAATGACATATCAATGTTAGATCTATGATAAATATGAGAAGGGTCATGACTGAGTCGTGGCAGGACCGCAGTGGACTACTGCCTTCGGTTCTATCTATATCCGGACCGCTGGTCTGCTATGAACCGCCTTCGGATGTCAGTGAGTGGTGGTACAACACACACACTACAATGAGAGGCAACCTTGATAGATTGCAACTATGCTGACTGTAACTAATGAGTACTTATGCTTCTGAAGTAATACTAGTTATATGGAGAGTAGAGTGGATGAGGATCCACTCAGAGCAGGAGGAATGGGTGAGATGAAGAAGGGGGCAAGTCGCCACTTGGATGAAGTGGGAGTGGCCCCTATCAATGATGAAGCCACACGAGGACCACCCATTTGCAGGAAAGAAGGGAAGCAGTGCCAACGAGCGACATCGCAAGGTAGGCAGGGCGCGAGAGGAGGAGCAGTATCTGAGGAGACCTCCTAGAGAGGAAGCAGTGTTGCAGGTGACATTTTGAGGACGTCTATATAACCATGCCTTCTCGTTATAGTAGTTGAGTGGATCTACAACCACTCTACACCTTACATTACTAGCTATCACTTCACAATAAGTATACTTAGTATTCTGTCAAACAGTTGCAATTGCAGAGCATTGCTTCTATTGTAGCATGTGTGTTGTATCACCACTTCTTGACATCGTCCGAAGGCAGTACTCTCTGTGGTCTGGATATCAATCGATACCGAAGGCGGTTACATACTGCGGTCCGGCTCTCTCGATCATTAGAACCAAAGGCAGTCGTCCACTGCAGTCTGGGGATCAACCAATCACTCAATCAACACACTGGACACTCTTGTCAAAGCAAACTCATTCACACCAGACCTTGGTGTCACTTCAAAGGATCTATTGGATATTGATCATGCTGAGCTACCTCTGGATGGAGTGTCCCCAGCAGTCAGTCGAAATCTGTGATAACCCTTAGTTACTATCCATCCAAGCGAGAACAGTCATAGAAGGCTTCTACGACAGATTCCAGCAAGAACAATAATAGACGGCTTCTACCACAGATCTCACCGAGATTAGTAGTAGTTGCCTTTTACCACAGATTTCGGGTATCAGGTGTGCGACCTCTGACAATATCTTGACGAAGCTGCT